AATAAATAAACGTTTAATTTGTTTTTGTTAAATAAACAATGAAAACCATTTGAACTACAAATTAACAATAGATTCTGTCGGTATATTACAATAATCATTGTATATAACCTTATTTTATTTGTATTGAATTAAATTAAAACAAATTATAATAATAATAACTTTTTTCAGAATATGTAAACAGTATCAAAGTCAAGCACTTACATGAATGGTGATAATAATAACAATAACAGTAATTAATTAAAAATTTAGTTTAAGATAAACAATCACTTTCGTCATAATTAGATGAAATGACAAAATTGATGGTATAGTACGGTCGATTGTCTCTCATCATGAAAAACATCACTGTTATTGTTCAATTTCTTGAAAAAATCAATTCAGCAAATTTTCGAGTTTCTACTATATACTCCTGATATTAGACACGTCTAAATAGTCTATTAATTATTCTTTATTTATTTGAACGCATAAACATTCATACAAGGTGGCACCAAATACATATGCGCCACACAGTAACAACGAGACCAGTAGTAGTTATCATTGATTTGTGTGAGGTTTGTGATACCATCCGGGTGCCCAAACTAAAGCAGGTGATTTTCTTAGGATGCCACACCCCGAGCCTTTGACCTGAAGGTTGTTATGTCCCGATAAGCATAACGAATAGTAACTTCGGGGATCCATTTATGCACCAATACTATGCGTATATTTTTATCGTATAATTGTTAAATAACTAAACTGCTCATATTCATGTCCCTCTTATTATAAGCTTTATTTGGACCTATGAACTATTATTTTAAAATTTACCATTCTTGAATCATTGCCTGTCTATCAATTCACTACCTCCCACATTTAAATTTGATCAAATCTTGTACAAATGTTGTTTCCTATTTTATGGTACGATGTGGTCTGTTTGATTGCTTTATACACCCCGTATGTTTGAAATAAATGATTCATATCGCAGAGGCTGAGATTGGTGTTCTGGACTTAACTGGCTGGGCTAGGCAGGAAGCAGGACCGATAAGTACTCTAGACTGCTCGTACGAGTTTTGCGCGTCATTGGTCCGATCAATAATTCACTGCTCTCCAATTAGCTATGCCTTTACGTATACATCAACAGGGCACATAGGCCACAAGTTATAATAAAGGTCTAATCCACAACGTTAGAAGATGCAGTCTCATGGTAGCTGACGACCAACAATTGGTTCATACGCTATTTGTTCCTTCAGAATCCTCGAGCCCATGTTCACCATCGGTACTGACTATTCATACTGTCTTATTCTACTTTTGTCTATACACATGAAATTCGGCCGAAAATATTGTTATGCATTTTGTTGCTTAACATGATCGGTAGTTTATTAGTTGGCAGAGGTCATTTTTGAAGGTAAAAAGTGGCTTATGTTAGTTATACATTCGATACGAAGGATCCACGTTGTGGAGTTGAAACACTTTGATTCCAAACCAATAACACACATGGGCTCAAGGATTCTTAAGGAATTCATTGTGGATGAACCGACTGTTGTCCACTAGTTATCATGGGACTGCACCTCTTAATGTTGTTTCACTGTCTTGTAGATTAGATTTCTATGTCAAATACTCGGGGAATCTCTCTTGGTTTCGGCAACCGGCAAGTATCCTAAATCACATACAAATTGAGCGATAAATACTTTGTGTGGTGTACATGTATTTTGGTGACCTTTGTACCAATGTTTATGTGGTTAAATAAAGAAATTAGATCTCCAGTTATCAACACTCAATAATTCTAATTTGTAGTATGTTTACTTTAGTTTTCATATTGAAGAAAAAAAGACGATTCATATTTTTGCTTACTTACTGTTATTCTTTGTTTATAGGCAGAAATACATCTGGTTGATATGGATAGTTCAATGATGAAAAAAAATTCAATGTTGAAAAATACTGATGATAATATTAATAACAGAAGAATAATCTGTTTAAACCAATTAATCCTGTCTCATTGTCATCCGAATACAACAGCTTTATTTCTCTATTTGCCTAAACCAAGTTCAGATTTATCATTAGCTGATATTTATTTGAATCAATTGAATATACTAACCGATACGTTACCGCCAACATTGTTAGCTCATGGTTTACATGAGGTCACTTCAGCTGAACTGTAATGATTTATTTTTGATTTTGTGTCTTAATAAGAGTTTAAAAATGAGTGAGCAACAACATATGTATTGTCTATCTAGTTGTTTTTTTCTCTGATTGAATTCAATATTAATTATTTGTGTGTCTGCGCATACATGTATGTCCCTTTTGGATTAATACGGTGTTTTTTGTCAAATGTCCATGCCTTATTTACTATTTCGTTAACGCAACAAGATTATAGTTGCCTTCCTTCAGTATTTTTTTAATGTTCACATTTCTATGTATGGCTAACAATTTCACAGTAATTTTTACTGTCAGTAGTGAGATTCAACCAAATGATCATTACTTTATTAATAAGCATAAACTGAGTCATAAAAATCTATGATTACAAAGTGTTTATCATCAGATAAATGATGAAAGTACAGTTTTTGTTATTCATATCTTATCTTACTAAATAAATAATTTCTCACACGCATTGTTGGTTGTGTGAAGCCTAAATTTGCTAGATTGAGTAATGAAAAAGAACAGTTACAATTCTTCTACTAAAAAACAGTTTGTTTCAAATGTTGAGTATTTATTTCTTATTGTGAATTCAAAATATAGTCTATGTTGAATTACATATATCAACACACACACACGCGTGAGGCATGTTTATGAACAGTCTGTTCATGTTCCAATCATCAATACAATGTGCTTCGTTGACCTAATTGCTATTTATAGATGTATTCTGATAAATAATGATGATTAAAGAATAAGAACTTGGATAGAAAACTAAAAAAATAAACAGCAACATCTAAATAGCATGTTGATTCATGAACTTTATTAATTGTCTGAATGTAATCAACCTAATTACATTTAATCGTTTCTTTCTTCACTTTTTTATATTGTCATGTTTATGTGATTTTAACTAAATTTATGGATTTTGTATTTTAATACATGTGCATTCATTTTTCTCTTCTAATCAGAAATTTCCATTTTTTATTTTCGGTCAGCTACAATTTCTTTCTTTTTTTTTCTTTTCAATTACGATAAATACAAATATAAACGGTGACAACTAATTCAAACGTTTATTATGACAGAAATGTTTGTTTTGTTCATTGCGTAAACGATGGTATTAGTTATTAGCAATAACTGATGTTCATATTTTCATGATACAAATTATTTACTTGACATATACTCTTGTTAATTTATTTTGTACAGAGAACGATTAGATCACTGAATTGGTATTATATGGTTTACATTTCTTATTTCAGTTAGTTTAAAATATTTCATGACAATCGTCCATTTCAGTAGGTGATATATTTCATGTCTGATATTATTGAGTCCATTAATCACGGCTCTTCGTATGAACTAAGGAAATCACTGTTCACAGTCAATAATTAGCATGTAGTTTTCTTATCTCAATATAGTTGTTTGAAGGCTGGGTGTTGGTCGCGAGGCTTAAATGAATCGTAAATGCGCACCGGTAGGGAGTCATATATTAAAACATAACAGATGTCCAATGCATCCTGGTTTTACATGGTCGTTTACCCAATGAAATATGTATAGTGAACTTAATTTAACTTTCACATTATTAAATTACGGTTAGAGTCGCTCAAAACTTAACTTATGCATTTGTATACTGCATTTAAAGGAATATACAGAAGTTACGACATGTAACTAGTAACTGTAGTTAGTTTGGATGTAAACATAACCATCAGTGTAATTTAAACCATTACACCATAAATCGGCATACTTCTTGATATTTTCCATTTTTAAATAAAACATTCGAGATACAGTGAACTGTAGTAACCGGACAGTCAAACTATACTGGAAAGTACATGCCTATTTATTTACCTTAAAAATAACTCTTGAGAGGTTGTGGTAAAATATAAGTAATGATATTCTCTTAAGATTTTATGTACGGTAATTACATGTTCACAGAAGCTAGTTTTTCTTAATATTATAGGAATTATACTTTCAGATATAAACCGGAACTTTTCGCTTCTATCTATAGCATTATCATTTTATTCAGTGGTATTGTGGTGTGGGTTACTTATATCCATATAAGTAGTATTTAACGGTGGTCAGGTATAGAGTGTATTTCAGCAGAAGATCGATAAGGAAAAAACGGAAATGGAACGCAATTGGTATGGAAATGCATGAACAATGAAATCTGAGGCAATGGACTGATATTTGCAAAAGGAACAGTGAAGTTTGAGACGATGGATTGATGCATGTTCTACCAACAAGTGTAAGATATAGACGATGGATTGATATTTTGCAATGTAACTATTTACTATATGGTTCTCAGATTCTAGTGAGATGCTCTGTAATTTCGTGACAAATGCATTCTATTGTCCCCACTCGTGTTCTTGTTCACTACAGCATTACTTGTTATTAGTACACATGGAGTTTCAAAAGTGCGCGTCGCTGTGTTTGAGACTAACTAAATATACCTCAGTGTTTGTGCTCACAGTAGTACTCGGACCCAGCACCTATCAGTTAAAATGCCATGTTATTCTCCACCAAACCACTGAGTCTAAAGAACCAATAACTTGTTCGAATGGTATGGTATTCATTCCTAATGGTTTCTATTATCATGTGATTGATATTCAGCACTGAATTTTGGTCGGTATAAGTGAATGCTAGGCTGATAGCATCAAAAGGTCCCAAAACATATCTCCCCGATAAATCAATGATGTATCTACAAGTAAATTACCTGGCTGATTCCAGTAATCGATCATATATATAATGAGTTTTAATTGTGGTTTCTTTTCCGAGAGAAATAACGTTTTTTTATCGAATAACTCGAAGTGAAGACAATTCATAGAAAGCAATTTTTATGAAATACAATAGTAAAAAATCATACAAACAAATAAGATTTAGACCAAATTGAAAAGTATATTGAAGTTTAGTTAAACGGGAGTTTTACCGGATTCCAGTAATTTCATATCTTCATCCACCATCAGCTTAACAAGTTCTGTAAAACCACAAGTTGGCTTCCATTTCAATAATTCTTTCGCTCGAGTGCAATCCCCTAATAAAAGATCCTGTGAAAAAATTTACTAATGAGTGCATTATAACTAGGACATTCGTCTAAGAAGTGTTTTCTCTACAAAAAATCAAACATCTTACATGTTTTGCACACAGTATTTGAGTGAATAGTATCTTTCCTTAAAGTAATCAAAGTCCGGATGAACCGCTCTTTAAAGTCACTTCAACTACTTACTGAGTTCATGAATGAATATTTTTCTACATATAGTCTTAGTAGGTGAGTCTGATCGAAGTAATTCACTGACTTCATCAGAAAAGAATGATTGCTAAATTCCCCTCTTTTGTTTTATTTTAACACAGAAGCTAGGTATCTGACATTGATGTAACTCCTTCAAAAAGCTATATTATGCTCTGAATGATCAGAGACACAGATCAATTAAATCAGAATAAGTCTGGTTACTGTTCATAGGCAATGTGTTCAGTCGAATGGGAACGTAAACTGCAATATTTGTTGATCACTCTTCAGTGCTTACCGCATTAACAAACAATTACTCTGAATGCATGTGGATTAATGCCAGTTTTACTAATTTGACATATCCTTATTAAATAACTCCCAAGTCACACTGAGGTATTTGTCAGCTTGTCTTTTATGGAATATAATAAAAAAAGAGAAAACTGTTTATTTCGAGGATATTGTATATGGAAATAAGTGAGTCCTTTAGTCCAATGTACAGAACAGACATCGAAATCACTATTCATTTTATTATTTAATCTACTGAATGGCGATTTGCAAATATGTAGATAATGAACTAATGTAGAAATAGACAAAAATTTACTATGCAATAATAAATTAGCTAAACAGAAGCAATAAACTGACACCTATGAAATACTGTACTTACTACTTCTGCAGGACGGAAGTAACGTTCATTGACACGAACAAGTACATTTCCTGATTCTGAATCAACACCAACTTCATTAAGACCGGTTCCTTTCCATCTAATTTTGTTTAAAAATCATTAATTTCAAGCATTTAAAAACGCTCTCAAAGTGAGTGATTAAACAAGAAAAATAGTCCAACGGAAATAAATATTATGGCCATTAAAAAACAAATACTATATGACTCCCAATAACAGTTTTAAAAGTCAAATGTCACCAACACAAAACTTCAAGGATGTACCTCAAATTATGGTGCAACTTCAACTGTTTGGAGAATCTAAATAAATAAGCAAAAACCTACCATGAATATCTTACTCATTTGATTCACTATAACCTTAATAAAATAACTAGTTGACTTACTAAATATTATTAACGAGCAAATAAGTAACGCACTTCGACTTTTTGAACTTATATCGAGAAAGATGTAATTCAAAGTAATAGGAAATCAAAGCTACCTGAAAATGTTAACATTATACTGGTAGTCGCTGTAGAAACTGTTTTCAAAGCCGAAGCTATAGTTTGAACACTCGGGTTTTAAACTAATGCTATACAATTGCATTTATGGTGATTCAATAAATATAGAAGTCTATATAGTAACAGAAAAATATCACATGAAAGCGTGTTTCAAGATTCCTGAGCCTTTTTTGCTTAAAAATCAACATTTCTAAAAGTATATTGTAAATTAATAAAAAGAAGTATGAAAAGATGCTCTTTCTTGTTGATAAGCGTCTCTATTTGAACAAACCGAAAAATATTCCATACATTAAATTAGAAGTTAAAATAGTTTTCGACCTGCCGTTTCGTCAGTTGGTGGTTTTAACTGATAGGCTTATATACACTGATTCCAAACTCCTGTCCAGCTGATCTGGTTTGGGTACATAAAGCGACTTGAGATAGGTTATGTGAGCCTTTACTCGAGGATTTGTCATTACTTATCATTTTTTAAATTCATGGATGTAAAATTTGTTCAACAAACTGAAGTACAACTATAACTTTGCGGACAATTCAATGAAGTACAGAAATATCATGTTAAATATTTTTATGATTATCGCTTAGTTTATATCACGTATTAAACACCTAAAATGAATACATGAGTAGAAGTAAAGATTCGAAACACTAAACATTTAAATATATATGTACTTACGTTAAATGGATTCCAACATGTTCAAAAGCCAAATTGGTAAATTCACGAACAGAATGCTTTTCCCCAGATGCAATAACGAAATCCTCCGGTGTATCACGTTGAAGCATAAGCCACATAGCCTTAACATAATCACCAGCGAATCCCCAATCACGCTCAGAATTTAAATTACCTAATTCCAAAACATTCTATATAGAAAAAGAGACCATATCAGAAAAATGTCAAATAATAGAAGCTATGAATACAGATTAAGATGAAATTGAGAACTGCTCAAATATGGAGACAAGTTCTACCAAAGTTTACAACTTATAAATCCGAAGTTTTTTCGATTATTGAAATATCCAAAAAACAAGCTAGCTTTATTGAAATTTACAACGATAAAATGTGGCACTATCTTAGCAATAATTAGCATTATTTAAGGGACGTAGGGTAGCTAAGCGCCTCTAAAAATCAACGCGAAAGGTTTTACAGTAAATGAAGCGAAAAGATGTATTCAATCCAAGACTAATCGATAATATTAATAAACCTAGTTATAATCCAAACATAATCCGGAGTTAGGATGGGCCCTGTTGCTGCAGAGTATGTGTATAACTTTGAAAGAAGCTGGCAAAAATATTCCTTAATGATTGAAAATGGTAACTAACAAATATTGTTAGAATTAAATGTTTTATTACTCACAAGTCCAGGATGGTATTAAAAGTTTGTCCATTACATTTGACATATGTACCGAGATAAATAATTTTAGTTGATGGAATTCACTTATATCTGGTGAAGGATCTCAAATGTAATTACTATTTTAAAAATGAACTATGTTGGATTTTTTACACGCACATACACCGTTTATCTTAAGATTATGAATAATTACTGGAACGTAACTAGTTAGTCTAACTTATTTTATTTATTTATTTTAACACATAGATATTGGTACAAGGAGGCACCAGATACATATGAGCCATACAAATCTCATTCGATCTGTGTGAGGGCTGTGATACTCCCCGGGTGCCCAAACCGAAGCAGGTAGCTTTCTTAGGTAGTTACAGCCTGGGGCCTTCTACCTAAAGGTCTGATCCACAAGACAGTGGAGCATCGTAAGGAGATGCAGTTCCATGGTAACCGGTGACCAAAAACTGGTTCATACACCATTTGTTTCCTCAGGATACTGGAGCCCTTTTGCACTATTGGTTTGGAATCAGGGTTTCCCAACTCCCCTGTGTGGATCCGCCTTATCCACCAGCCCGATTAAAGTGCCGGACAGTTTCGTAAACAACCCCCCGCCACGAGAAGGCAGTGAGTAGGACTTCCCTGAAAGAGGCTATATACACGTGGCCATGTGAGAGCATTTCGAGAGTCTAGATAACAACCTTTTCGATCGGCCTATATTTCCTATCTTAAACCTTTAGTTTGAGTTCATAACCACTAATTTAACACACTCTGACCTTAAAGGATTATTATTCAATGAAGTGAGGATTATTAGGAAATGCACTCCATGGCATTTACAGACCAAGACCCATGTGCTATTCGTTTGTTTTAAAACCTTGGATGCCATTTATGTCACTGTATTATAATCAGGGCATTTTAACACTCCGAAATGGCCATATCGCATTCACTAACCATTACAAACGCGAAAATTTGGATTCGGTAGAAAAATCGCTATATGGAATCGGTAGGTAGGATTACCATGAAATATACTAAAAATATGAGGCCATAAGACATTATTTTCAACTACTGGCAAACTTGGCGAACCGATATTTATTTTTCACCTTACTTATTTGGTTAATTTCTTATATATTTTTAGTAGATTTCGATACTCTTCTAGCATTAATGAACTGATTAATTTTCGATCATGTTTCAAATGCTATTAGAAGGGGTTAATGGTATCAGAATCGTATATGAAGTATGAATCGGTTATGGTGAATTTCTGAAGTTAAAGTTTTACTTCTACTCGACGTCGATATACTTCAATGTAATTCGCACTTACTTTTTCGGTTACAACGAAAAATAGGATTGTTGCAAACTATATATAAGCAATTCTTGTTAGGTGTAAATAGTTAAAATATCTAACTACTATTGAACGGCATCCAAAAATGGACTTGTTAAAGACAAACCTTTTCTATAATCATTCCAACCACATTTGAAATGATCAATCATATAAAAAATATTCGAACCTGTAGACCCTTTTTAATTCGTACAACTGCACGTGTAATTTTTCGAGTAACGAATGTTTCTCCTCGCCGGGGGCTTTCATGATTGAATAGAATTCCATTGCATGCAAACATTCCGTAAGACTCCCGATAATTTACCACAATCCAATATGCGTACAGTTTGGCAACGCCTTTGCCGAATGTACAGAAAAAAAAATTATCAAGCAAAATAAACCGCATGTATATTTCTTTTGAATTAATTAGTTGAATAACCACACTTTCATAAATACTGATAGTTCATTTTCTGTGTATATAAGTCCAGTAAAAACGCAACAAACTCATTCGTTTCCTAATTGTAATTCACAGGAAAACAGTGATTGCACACTTTAGATGGTATAGTGGTATAAGAAGACTAATATTCCATCTTTCTTCAAGTTTTAGAAGTTTTACCCTCTACTCGACACATATCTTGAAATTTATTCTAAATTGTTTACCGCTGTTAATAAATTATTTTCATTTTTATGTTGATGACTTTTTGTGTAGGTCAAGCTGGTATTTCATGTACCAGTATATTTTACGTGTGCAATAGCGTATACATAGAGGGTTTCTATGAATTTCGAAAAGAACTTGGAGCACACATAGTGAAAGAAAGATAACCAAAGAGCGATATGCAGACAGAATCAGTCAACTTCGTTATACATCAATGTACAAGCAAATAATTGTTGACAATAGATGACTGATTGTTATCAGTCTACTTAAAGTACCAATAGCACACTGTAGTGTCAACAAATGACTAATCTTGGAGCCAAGCTTCAAATGTTGAGATAAGTAAATTAACCAAACGATCAATTTATCGAGGTTTATAATTATTCGGATACTTTTTCACATAATGGGTCTGGAGCTCTTTGTTTTTCTAGCGTACAATTACAATTTAGTGGCCATCCAAAAAAAAGATACGAAAGACTGGATATTTTAAGCTAAAGTTGACTGAGTATATTTATCTACAGTATTATTAACGTCTAGGCTGAATAAATAGAAAGTAATTGGAATAACTATCAGTTTGAACAAGCTCAATTTGCAACAGCTGTTGGACTATACCAATTAAGAAACAGAAAAGTTTTTTTTGCCAAACGAAGACTGCTACTAACTGTTATATTACTTCCTTTCGTTATCATTATAGATTTCAGCGTACTTCCATTCATTGAGAGATTGTGAGGATACGGAATGTTGGGAGTTTGGAAGAAAAATGTTTATGATGTTCACACACATCCTGATTCTAGGGGACTTTAATCTCCCTAGAGTCAACTTCGCGGAACACATGTACACTGGAGGCGACAACTCAACTGAAGCTCGGTTCTTCAACCTCATCGATAACTTGGGCTTATATGAAAATGTGAGGTCGGCAACTCGTTGGAGAAACAGTCAGACACCATCGCGCTTAGACTGTGTATTCACTAACGAAGAATTCCTAGTCGACAACCTCTCAATCCTGGCTCCTCTGGGAAAGAGCGATCATGCCGTCATAGCCTTCAGTTTTGTCATCAAAACTAAGCTAAGGTATCCCAACAATAATTTGCGTTGGAATTTTAAACGGCTGAATGTGCCAGCTCTACATGACTATCTACAACAGGTGGTTTGGGATGTTCACCCTCAACTCGATGTAGGTGGTCATTGGGACTTCTTACTGCACACGCTCTTATGTGCTACAGACCATTCAGTTCCTCAAACGGTTCCCAAAAGCTTCAAGCCACCTACAGTAATCAAGAACCGTACCCTTCGCCTCCTAAGCCGCAAACGGCACTGTTGGGCGGAATACAAACGAACTAATAACGATGGAGCGTATAGGCAATACAAACATATCAGGAACACATGCACGCAGCTATAAGAGAAGACAGGCTTCAGTACCAAACAAAGCTTATGGACAAATTCGCCTCTAACCCTAGAAGCCTATTCCGTTATGCAGCCTCTCTTCGTCAAGCCAAAACAGGAGTTTCTCAACTGCTAGGTCATAACGGTCCGAAACTTCATCAGTTGAGGTGGCTGGGACACGTGTTACGTATGTCCAACGACCGACTGCCTCGACGTGCTATGTTCAGTGGTATAGGAGTAGGTTGGAAGAAAGCTAGGGGCGGCCAAACCAAAACATGGCACAAGTCCATGAAGTCACTGACAAGTGGACTGAGTCATGTTGGTAGGTGCAGACTACCTGGTTGGGGACCGCGAGATGATAGCAACCGATGGTTAGAGACCCTGAATGACATGGCTCAAAATCGTTTGCAATGGCGCAGGTGCATCCACTCTCTGTGTTCGCTCAAATTCTAATCTTCTGAATTCTTCATGTCCCTTTTTTCCTCTTTCCAAATTTATTTCACTGGATTATACTCTTTAAATAACATCTCCAAACCCTAATCTTCCCGATTACTGCTTATACTCTTATTACCTCTACCAATACGGGATTTGAATCGACAACTGCATCTCTGTGCTTATGTGGTGTGGCAACTCGAACTGATGTACGTACGTACGAAGTTCTACGTTGTTACTGACTGACTGACTTTCAACCGGCTGACATCAACTTTATTGACGACAGTTTCATCTCCAACTCCACAGGACTTTCTGAAGTGGACCTAAGCGCTGACTTGGTGTTCCGGAAATTGCAGCACTTAAGACTTGACACTTCTCCTGGCCCGGATATGGTTCATCCTGCCATACTGAGGGAGGCAGCCTCAATCCTGGCAACGCCGCTTAGCGTGATGTTTTCACACTCGCTTAGCCGAGGCAAATTACCGGAAAACTGGAAGTTGGCTCACATCACACCAATTTTCAAAGGTGGTCGACGCAATGAACCTTCAAGTTATCGGCCGGTGGCTCTTCTGTCATTACCTTCAAAACTCATGGAGTCCCTGATATGCGACGGTTTAAATGACTATCTACTGTCCTTAAATTTCTTCTCACCCCAAAAGCATGGTTTCAGGAAGGGTTACTCTTGTATAACCAACCTGCTGACTGCGGTGGACAAATGGACAAGCATCCTCGATTGCAAGGGAAAGGTTGACGTCATTTACCCTGATTTCTCAAAAGCTTTTGATAAGGTTAACCACTTGTGTCTTATCAACAAGCTCAAACGACTAGGTATCAAACCACGTCTAATCGATTGGTTTACTTCATACCTACAAAATCGACACTTTAAGGTTAGGGTTAATTTCACTTTATCTCAGGCTATGGAATGTCCTAGTGGGGTCCCCCAGGGCTCAGTACTGGGGCCTCTTCTCTTCTTGATCTACATAAATGATCTTCCTCAGCAGGTAACGTCAGACTTATTACTTTTTGCCGACGACGTGAAACTTTGGAGAGAGATACGCAACCAAGACGATACACAGGCACTTCAGGAGGATTTGACGCGACTTCAAAGTTGGGCAGACGATAACGGACTTACCTTTAACACTTCGAAGTGTAAAGTAGTCCATCTGCGACATGTCGCAAACTACAGTTACAACTTAGGAAACTCCTCTCTAGTAGTATCCCAAGTCGAAAAAGATTTAGGAGTCCTGGTGCCCCATGACTTAAAGTCTTACGCTAACTGTGACAAAAATGCCTTCCGAGCAAACCTTGCACTGGTAACGTTGAAGCGCATTTTTGGACAGTTTGACGGACGAACTTTCCATACAATCTTCAATAGTTTCATCCGTCCCCATTTAGAGTACGGAAACATAGTACTCCCCCCTCACTCCAAAAGGACAAGGCCACTTTGGAGCGTATCCAACGGCGAGCCACGAAATCAGTTCGAGGACTCAAATCTAAGCCTTACGTGGAACGCCTCCGTTCACTAGACCTTTACCCACTAGAATATAGGCGTCTTAGAGGTGATTTAATAATGGCTTATAGTATTCTTAACACTTCTGGACATCCTCTTAAACACCTACTTAAGCTTAGTTCGAATAATAACCTAAGGGGTAACACCCAGAAACTGGAAACACAACATAGCAAGACGGAATGTAGACACAACTTCTACTCCTTAAGAGTTGTCAAAAGCTGGAACTCGCTGCCGGCCGAGCTAGTCCAAGCGACTTCTCAGGAGTCCTTCAAGAGGCAACTTGACCTATTCTTAAGGACCAAGGACAGCATCGCACTATGATTTACCAATTTCTTTTCCTCTTTTATTGTTAACATACCTAGGTTCCTGCCTGGAGGATTTGGTGATCCCCTGCTACTAGACACGGAAGCCTGTTAAGCGAAAGCTTCTTCTATTCCGTCCACAACCATTTGAACCATTTGAACAATACATAAAAACTGACTTCGAAACTTACTGTACGGTGACCTCGGGTGAAAAGGTGTTTTCTCACTTTGTGGCGTTTCCACGACTTTCCCATACAGTTCACTGCTGGAAGCTTGATAAAACTTAACTGTTTTTTCTAATTTACATGTCCTAATAGCATCCAGCAAACGTAATGTACCAAGAGCAACAACTTCACCAGTATATTCACTAAGGTCGAAAGAGACCTAAAACAGAGTTAATTTTGAATAATGGTATGAACCTTCACATGGGACTGCGCGGCCAAATTGTATATTTCATCAGGCATTACTTTACTGATTATTTTGATCAATGAAGAACTATCAGTCATATCACCATAGTGAAGAAAAAACGTTTCTGTTAAGGTTACATGAGACAATTTATTTGATGTACTTTCGGGCAATAACTTGTTCTTTTCGTAAATATGGTTTACCCTACCAGTATTAAACGTGCTTGATCTTCTTATAATTCCATGAACCTAAAGACGATTCGTGATTTCAATTATCGTTACTATATAATTCATTGACAATAAGAACTCGGCCAAATAAGAACCATCCTGAAATATGTAATTAAATTTTAACGAACTAACCTGTCCTGTTATTCCAGTAATCAATGCTACTTTTCTTTTTGGGCCATCAGAACTCGCACCGTTGCTGTTCATTGGCGAGATATTCAAAATTTAACTTAACCTTGAATAAGAGTGAAAACAAGTACATCGGAACACCTAAAGAAAACTATAATTGAAAACATTTACCGTTTCCTCGCAAGCACATAAATTTTTGAACAAAATAGTCGACAGCTTAGAAATGCTATCAGGAATTGCGTTACTTCCGGATATGGTGGTATCTCAGTTGACCCAATGTTCTTTAGACTGCTTCGACAGATGATGTTTCATGTATGTGTTGAGATAATGAGTCCCAATCATTGGCCGTTAGATGGACAGTCGATTTTCATCTGACAACCGATTTGTTCTGGACTTGTGAGCAAATTTGGGTTGTCCGTGTAAATTCTTTATTTCAGTAGACATGAGACTGTATGCTATATGCAAATCATCAGCTATATGAAAGCTGTAATAAATTCACTTTTATTCTTTCTGCTTGACAAAGAGAGGAGGCTTGATGAAGCCATTCTTTCATTATTTCGCAGACTTGTGAAACTGTACATCAACTTAAACGATATTCCTTGGCTAAAGTCTATTTATGTCAGGTCAAGAACATTTTTGTATAGACAAGATTAAAAGCTATAATTAATAACAAGATTATTCTAAAACCTTTGTGAATACTTCACAGTTGGGTGAAGAGGTTTTCAAGTCTTTATTATCGACGTATAGATATGGACAACCGATAGCTCATCCTTATTAACCGTGTATGTATCTGCACCTCGGCGATCAACATGCACCACAATGCATTTCGAAGCATTTGTTGACATCTTTTGAATGCTAGGCTAATCATATAATTTCTGCAATAATATTTATTCACTAACATTTTAGCCCAATGAGCTTCAGTTTCAGATCCGTATAGGAAAAGTCGTCAGTACTTTGTGTGTAAACTAAGTGTCACGCTGAGAGGCTGGTATGCTTAACTAGAACGTAAGTATTCATCTGTTTGCCAAATGTGAAGAATTATTCACCACACCTAAAAATACTTTGTATTTGAAAGCTTTTGCTGTAATTCCTCCATTATTACGTTGAGCTGTGTTTTACGATTTCTATTTAAAACATATGAGGCATAGAATCTTCCACTCATGTCTTTGGGTTCATTGTTAAAATAGTCGATTTCGAAGAAATGTCCATACAAGCGCAATTTGAAACTCAGACTTTTTTAAAAACTTGGCCAAACACTTTCTTAAGTTAGGGGTTTTCAGTCGAAAATAATCATAACTTTACACAGATCTTTCACGTACTTCAGAAAACCTTCGATATAGGCTTCCAGAGCATTTACCCACGATCAGTATTTTTTAATTTCTTCGACTGCGCAAATCCTTAGGAAAGCTTACTTGTTAGTAATAATATGTTCGAGTTACATATAGACAAACAATAAGTGCACCAACAACATTCTTTTTGATTTCAGTGCTTACACATTAGTGATTAATATACAATTTATTGGCCAGTCATCCATAATTCTGTTAAGAACATGGATCGAATCACATCGCCTTTACATGTCTCCGGTAGTGAGAGTGACTGTCCAGATCCTCATTATTGTTAAGTGTTTTCAGTTTGGTAAACGCGGACATACGCGTTTCAAACTTAGTTAGAATGCAATCCGTTCTAGACGTATGTGAAATGTTATGAATGCTATAACGTAAAAATGTGTTGTAAACCTCGAATGAAGAGTAAGGAAAAAAATTCTCAGCGATAGTAAGTGAAGGTTTTAACATACTATTAAAGAATTACGTTGAGTTCTAACTTATCCAGTTTTAAACACTTAAATGTAGTATCATTATAGTATTGTTGAAGTCTCGACACGCAAATTAACTATATGTCAGATTTGTTAAAAATACACCGTTTATAAGTTTTGTTTTGTAGTAGGCACTAAATCGAACCTACATAAGTTCTATCAGTGGAAAGAATAGGGATATTTATTGGTCACTTTTTTATACAGGCTAGTTGAAACGTTCCATCAAATTGTAATTGTATACTAGGTGACTTAGTTGAATGCTAATAGTTTCGTGATAATGATGTACTTGTGGTGTGTGTTTTCGTCATGAACACAGCCACGAATGTATATGTTATCCGTTTTAAATTCAGGGCCGTTCCACATAGCGTTTTAGTTGTCTCGTAGGCAAAATAAGGTGTTTCAACTAGTTCTCAAGTATATTCCATGTAACTTAGATGAAGCGCAATAGGCAAAATTTCTACACCATAAATTATGGACAGCTTTTCTGGGAAACGGAGAGGCATATGATATACATGTGGCTACCAAGTCAAGCTATGTAGATAAATTTGTATGCAAGCTTACAAATATTTTAATTTTGGCTCAAGATTCGGGCAAATCTTGAAAATGTTTTCGAATTCCCATATCTGAAATTTTGTTTTATGATTTCTAGTGTTTAGTGACATCGTCCGGATGAACCTATGACTAGTGGGAGGTCAATGATAACGTACTGATGAAAGATAGCTATGTGTAATAGCGTTATAGTCTTTGAATAAAATATTACCGACATTTTATCGCTTATCAGACTATAAAATATTGGGCAAAAAGCTGAAAACATTACCAGCTATGGTTGTTGCGTGCATGGATATCCACATGCTATAATTAATCGAAAAGTTCATGTACTTCCTCTGTCGACATTGACCGGCTAGTTTCTGTTAACAAAAGTGATTTATAAGCAAAGATGGATAGTGGCTAGCAGTGGAATCCAGGACGCGCGTTTCGTCCTGTTTGGGACTCGTCAGCTGGATGTACCTGCATCTCAGGGTTGATGTTCACTCTGGGACTCGAACTCAGTACCGTTCGCTTCAAACGCCATCGCGTTATCCACTTAGCTACTGAGTCCTGATAGCCACTTGCTTGTGCAATGGGTTGAAGTTTAATTCACTTGATATTGTTTTACTTGAATCTTCCATGTCCTGGATTCCACTGCTAGCCACTATCCATCTTTGCTTATAATGCTTGTAAATTAAGGCAATATCGAGGCATACGCACAGTATGCACATATGCCAATAAGAGACTGATCAATTTCAGTCCAAAAACATCAATGGGAAGATTCAAGTAAAACAATATCAAGTGAACTAAAAGTGATTTATATTTAGTGTCTTCTTCAAATGTACACTTGTCGATGTCGATCGAAATCTCTGAGAATAATGGAGGTTACTTTAATATTACGTTAAAGTTCTTTCTCATTCCCGTTATCGAAGTACGATATATCTATCTATTTGCAATTTACTAAAGTTTACTCGCAATTTACAAATATTCGACTCAAATGTCATTTCAACAATAAATATAACAACTATAGAAACAAACCTTCAATTTTGTATGTGCACGGAGAAAAAGCTCTTAAATTCCAAACAAAAGATAAAGAGAAGCCAAAATGTCCTAAAATAATGATATTTAAAAACAAGTTCGGAAGTTGAGTAAGACAAATACATCCAAAAAGCGTGAAATTAATAATATTTAATATAAAGTTTTTATTCAGCCAAATGTCTTTAGTCCTCCCGTAACACGTTGACTGTTGGCCTTCATATGACAGGTATAAACTAAAACACGTGCTTGAGTCCACGTCATATCTGACATCATAACTATATATAACGCTGTCATTCGCACCTTATTTGATTTTCTTGATTCGTATTTAGCAAACATGACTGATTGTCCATTTCCAACACTGTCTGTAGTATCACGTTTAAATAATCAGCATGCTGTTTTTACCCGCTTCTATCTTCTTATTTTATAAGTTGGATCTTTGCTAACACATTCAGAGCATTTTTATAAATTTCGATGTATTCACGTTTTATGAGGCAAAGTAGCAATATTTGATTAGTACAATCATCGTAATATTCATATAAATTCCCAACTGTTCATAAGAAACTTTCATTAACGAACTATATTCAAAATGGATTTTGCATCGTTCACTGGCAAGTTGTTATTATGATCAACGTAAACTTGAAGAGATAAAGTGCGCCGAAATCCTTATCAACTACAAACGACATAATAAACGTTCTTGTTCTGAAATGGGTATTTAACAAGGAATATAAATAGCGATGATAATAATAATAATAGTTGGAAAGGGTATGATCAAAAGACCAGGCGTAAAGAATTTTTTGTATTCTTAGAGTTATGAAAAGATGCAATATGCAATTTCTAATGTTCCTCAGCGTGCTTAGATACTCCATTTGCAGATGAATATTTGAACATAGGCTCAAAAAATTTTATTACCCACGTGACTACTATTGAGTCTTAGAACAACAAACCACCCATGAGAATGTTCTGAAACTTATTGTGAGGTTTCATGACATACTCGACCAGTGACAAGATAACGCGGAACTGTGATTGAGGTGACTAAACTTAGTAATTCTAAGATGTTACTTACCATCAAGGGCTTTCTAATAGGCTAAAAATATTCGTCAATCAAATATCGGGAGACCCAGAAAACCCCTAGAAATAATTAATCCGGTCAGCAGTGGAAAAGCGTTTCCTGAAACATCGATAAACTGGGCCATTGTGTCACATCTTTAGGATCGATAGATACCAGTCTAATAAGAAGTCAAAAATGAGGGGGTTCGAAGATATATTTGTGAAGCTCTCGATACTTCGAGAGGTGTTTGTTGTTATTTGCTTAGTAGTTGCAGCGGATGAGAAGCGTGGCGTAACTACTGACGATCTAGTCCGGATGAGGGACAGAGCGCCTTTAGCTAGGGTGTGTCGAGTAAAATTGATGAGGTAAGAATCAATGTCGGGGACTTACAGAAGTATGTATTTCTAAAATTTGCATCTCCCTACACATATATTAAAACGAAACGTTATTCATCATTTCTTTTTAGCACTCCGAATAGGCACTTGCTTAAGAGAAAAGTTCTCTGCATAAACCAGAAACGAAGTTCTAAAAAGCAGAGAAGTCATTTCGATATCGTAAAGGAAATAGTTATTCAAATGGCAAATTTATTAACTGTTAACGTAGTTTGTGGCATTGGCAGCCGACTTGGAATTTCTAGCACATTCTGTCGAA